GAAGAGGCCTACGACATGTTAGCCATTTCACCGAATGCTGACAAGTCAGCTCTCCCGAAGAAGGTCGTCTTCTCACTGTGTTTGTCAGATTTTTCATCTGTGTGTGTGTGTGTTTGTGTGTGTATTTGTGTGCAACTGTATGATGTGTGCTTTTCTTTTTCTATTTAACCACAGGCCCTTCATACCTTTGTCATGTTCTGGTGGGCTTTTTTATCGGAACTTCTTTCACAGTCTATGCGTGTGCAAGTGTGTGTATGTCCTTGCCTATTTGCGTCTGTCATCATGTCTACATGTGGTTGTGTAAGTTTGGCGCTTCAGTTCAATGCTGGTGTGGCGACCAGAGGGAGGGCGTCTTCTTCAAGACGGTCTTCTTCAGTTGAGCTGATTTGCAAGGCAAATGAAGATGGTCAACGTGACCAGGTCCGAGTGTCGGGCGCAGGAGAGACGGGGTGTCTTGCAATCACGGCTACATGTACCTCGAGTCCTGTCATGGCGGCACAGATGGTCACAACGAGAGCTTGTTGATGTGCCCTCACATATGCGTGTGCTCATATCTCTACACAAGTGTGTGTGTTTGTGTGTGTAGGTGGGTGGATGGGTGTGTAATTGCATCTGCAACTTGTATGGTGTGTTTCACTAAAGGAACTCGGTGTATGAAGAGGAACGGGGCAGTAAAGGTAGCCAAGTCTGAGAGACGGAGACTCGGAGGGGTATGATATGAGGGGTGAACGAGAGCAAGAGGGTGTTAGAGGCCTCGTGAGAAGGAAGATGGACCGAGAGAGAAAGGAGTAAGAAAGAATGTGAGGAACAAGAGAAAATAATCCTTGCCAAAGGACAATTTATTTAGGCCATACCAGAAAGTAGGTGAAAATAACGGAAATTTGTTCGCTTCTGTAGCCGGGGCGTTGAAAAACAGACATTTTTCTGACAAACGCTAAATCGGTTGTTGAATAGGCAAACCATTTGGAGAGGACAAAAGTGTCGATGGAGCTTCGCGATTCATCGCGACGAGTCGTGTCTTTGTGAGGCATCGTAGACACGAGTTGACATTGCTGATCATTATGTTGAGCATTTGCGATCGCAAAGACAATTCTCAAATTGTAATGGTGACTGGCAATTTGCTTGAAAGCATCTTTGTAACACCAAATTTGCTGGTACCGGAAGAATCACTTCCAAAAAATATTTAACCAAAAAGGTGATCGCATTAAAGTCTGCATATTTGATGTTAAATGAAGCTGATGCATGAACAGATTTGGGTTGTGGTTTCCAAGTAATGTTTTTGCTTCGATAAACTAGAAGTTAATCCTACAATGTCATGCTGGTACACATTGAAATAATTTCAACGCTTCATCTTCACTCATTTAAAGTAAAGTGGGAAAAGTCTGAAGTAACCAACCGAAAAATGGCATA